AAAAAAAAAATTAGCTCAAATTTTCATTTTCCATTACTTGCACTTTTTGTTCGTTGATCTCTCTATTGCATATCATTAAGTTGCTATTACAGTGCATGTAGTTACATATTAATCATCTTGTCACTTCTAGCTCTAGTACCTTAAACATGAACCCCTCACAATTCGATGCACTCACCCGACAAATAGCGGCTATTCAAACTCAAATGACCGCTACTCTTAAAGAAAGTAAGGTCCTATCTGCTAGTTTGAAAAATTTTAAACACATCCCTCATTCGATTGATATTGATAATTCTAAGGTGTCCCATAATCGACAACATTGTCGACAAGCTAATCAAAAATACTTTCGACCCGATCGGAAGGATAGGGATAGGAATAGGGATCAGATTCGTGAGCGAAAACGAGATAATTTTGAAATTCTTACTCAATGGAATGCCCTTAAACAAGGAAATCAAAGTCCCTTCTAGGTCCTCCCCCGTCTGATATTCCTCCAATTTTGAAAAATAAGGGTAAAAATTTTGATAATCATCATTTGGCTTCATTGGCTCCACCTCTTCCCGTTAAGTCCCTTCTAGGACCTCCCCCTTCTAATGGTTCTCCAATCTTGAAAAATTAGGGTAGAATTTCTGAAACTCCAAGGTCTTCTTCTCACTTGTTGTGCGTCAACTGTAAAGACTTTGGTCACATTTCTTCTAAATGTCCTAATCGAACTCTAGTCATGAAAGAACGAAAGAATGTAATAGAGGAGCCGTTGGAAGATCTAGTCTATGAACCTAAACTTGAAGATTTTGATGACTTGGATAATAGTGAGGACACTTCCTTAGGTGGAATCCAGACTCTTCTCGAGACTTTGGATACTATATCTCTTATCTCCGACAATTCTCGATCACATGTTATATGTCATACCCTTATTCAAGTTAAAGAGCTTGATGATGTCACCAGTCACCCTTGGAAAATCCAGTCACTTGTGGTTAACACTAAGGCAAAATTATCCACCACTGACCAACCTTAAATTGATGGTCAAAACAAAAGTGCTAACCAAAATCCTGACAATTTATTACAGTCTCTAGTCCAGAAAAATCTTAGGAATTTGGACTTGATCCCTCCAATTGTTCAAATTGCATATAACGATCCAGTGAACTGGTCTTTAGGTCTAAAACCCTTTGAAATTATTCTTGGTTGTGAACCTTTGAAACCTCTAGACCTTATTCTCATGCACCCACATGCTTGTGTGTCTATGTCAGTTGAGGTAGTTGTATCACATTTTCATAGCTTGCATATTGAGATCAATAAACAATTTGAAGCAAGTAAAGCATTATATAAACCTCAAGTTGTTTGGCATAAACAATACTTTGAATTTAATATTGGGGATTATGTTATATTGCAAGCGTGTAATGCTGGTCTTTTTAAAATTTCAAAGCATGTTGGTCAAAATACCTATGTCAATGACCTTTTATCATATTATGACCACCACCCTATTTTATTTGTTACGGACTTCGATGCTTACAACGGCTATTTTAGCCCTTCTGATGACCCGTTTCTACTCCCACATAAGAATTCCTACACTGACTCTTTTGCCATGTCTGCTTCAATCTCACCTATCACAGCACACAAAAATAAAATTGATGTTATTTTGGATGAACAACTTGTGTTGACCAATAATAGAGAGATTCAAAACTTTCTTGTTCGTTGGATGGATCGACTTGATTCTGACGGCACATGGATTCCCAAAGAGAGACTTCAGCAGTGTGAGCCAAATTTATTGGAGCTTTATATGAGTCAGCAAAATTCTCACTCGCCTAAGTTATCTTGGTCAACTCATGTTTTTGCGGGTAATTTGCAATTGGCATCGTCACCATTTGTGGAATTTCGATATTTGGTTCGTCAAAGAGATCGTCCCCCATGGCATGACTTGGAGCTTTTAGCATCAGATTCATTGCAACATTTTGATTTATCCACTCGACGGGGTCGAGTTTTTCTCCCACCCCGGGAGAATTGATGCGGACATCCATTTACTATTTATTTTCTTCCATTTACTATTTATTTTCTTTTTGGACTATTAGTTATATTCATGTTGGATTATTATTTATATTTCTGTTATTGGGCTTGTTTAGTGAGTTTGGCCCAAGCCCTTCTCTTTAGGGTTTGTGTTCTGCTATTTATTTCTGTTTTTTTTTTCATTTGAGACAGTTGATGAAGAATTAGAATTGAAATATTTTTGGTGGCTTGCAGCCGTTTTCTCCCTCCCCTCTCTTCCCCTGGTTTCTTCTCCTCTTCTCCCTTCTCTCTGTTTCTCCTCCCCGTTCCTTCTTCTTTCTTTCTTATTCATCCTACATCAGAAAGGGCAATAAATTAAAATATTTGTCGCAAAAATGTAGTGCATCACATTTATGTCGTGAAAACTTAAAAGGGCAACGAGTAGTTGATACATATACGACTATAGTTGCCTGATTTTCTCCGCGGATCTATTACCGTCTAATGATTATTCTCACTACATACAGTTGATACATAGACGAATATAGTTGCTTAATTTTCTATTAACATTAGGACTGGACATGATGAAAATTAAATTTAGCAATATATAATGAGTGCTTTAGTCTATATATAATTAATTTGAGAAACTAACAATTTTTTGTCCTATATAAATATATTACTTATTCCTTTATTATCATATGTTCGATCTGGTTCAATTTGATTTGACTTTTCGAATCTTGACCCTTTAAATTTTTCTGGTGTACGGCAAGTTCAGTTTTGAAGACAGAGAAAATTCTAAGCCTATTCTCATCTCTCACGGCAAACCTATACAGCAAAATTTCATCTTACTGATTTCGAGTCTGATCCTTTACCAATGAAGACATCGATGACAACAGAAGGCACTAGTGACAATATAGGCATCCACGAAACCGTAGGTAATATAAATGCGATTCCATTTATCCTTTTTTTGGTAAAAATCTTTCAACGTTTTTTTCTTAAATAAGTTTTCTTTTTAAAAAGAAGCCAACCAATCGAATCCAATTAAAACAATATAATTCACTGTGTTTTCTAATTAATTATGAGTGACCTGTACTCCGACTGTTAACTAATTTTTTTAGCAATAACGTTATTGTATGAATCTTCACTTTGTAACTAAGCATACTTTTTTCTTGTTTTATGCGATTTCTGTACAGCCCATGACTTCGTCTTTTCTGTATATTGCACGTGCAACCAACCTTTCACGACAGCAAAAATGCATATGGTGAAATTTCATCCTATCAACTTCGAGTGGGTACTATTATTCATCATATTTTTCATAAATGGCAGATTTTTTCGCAAACGTGCTGGTCCTTTACCAATGAAGACACGATAACAACAAATAAAGGCGCTGATCCCATTTTAATCCTTTTTTTTGAAAGAAATTTTCATTATTTTTTGTTAAATAAATTCTTCTTTTTAGTAGAATTCAACCAATTAAATACGATTGAAATGAAGGTATACTGTGTTTTCAGATCATATCCCTTATGTTTTATAAGATTCATGTGCAACCAATGTTATACTTATGCCACCCCTATGGCAATTTGACTTGTAAATCATTGACTTCTCCAAAAAAACACTTTCCTGTACATAAGTGGCATTCATGTTATTACCACTTTATATGTGTCGTGCCCATATATTTGAATTTACTTTGGTTGCTGAAATTCGCTTATCCTAGATAGAGTCTTATGTTATCTATGTACAGTGTCTCTACGAGTCAACTATCTCTGTAAGAGAAACTTGATTTTGATTTCTCATGTATCTATTACCTGCTAAGGATTATTCTCACCAGTGGAGTTGATACATAGATGACAATTGTTACCATACTTTCTATATAAGGAAATTGTGCAATGTATAATGCATGTTTTTGTCTATGTATTGACTAACCTCAGAAACTATTTTATTTTTGTCAAATTTTGTGCTGTATAGATATATTTGTTTATTATAATCATATCAATCCCGTATCAACATGGTTGCACCTTTCGATCCTTGGGTTAAATTTTTTCAGGTGTATGTCTAGTTCGGTTTTATAAATATAGAAAAACAATAACCCTATGCTCATCTCTATTCACAAACGTATATGGTGAAATTTCATCTTATCGATTTTGAGTCTGATCCTTCACAAATGAAGACACCAATTACACCAAAGGCACCACCGAGAACAGAGGTACCCACAACAGTTGTTGAGATTTGGTTTGATTTAAACCATATATTTGAAGATTCTAAATCAATTCCATAAATTCTATTTTTGCTGTAATTCCATAGAATTATTAGTAAGTTGATTTGTTTCCTAAGTATACTCTTAAGACTAAGGAAACTTTGCAAGTATATATGCTCCTGTAACGTTGCAGTAAGATTGTGAAATACAGAAAACTTATTCCTGCTTTTTTTTCTTTGTATCAAAGCATTGATCCTAAAACCTCCGCATTATGTCTGTAGAAGAAGATACTGGTTCCAACCGTGTACAAGAAACGGACTCCAGTAGTGCTGTCCTTACCATGACAACCCTCATCACAGATCCATCCGATCCTCTTTTCATTCATCCCTTTGATCATCCGAGAATGATTCTAGTTCCAAAAGTCCTGGATGGAACCAATTATACTATGTGGAGACGATCAATGTTGGTGAGCCTTAGTGCTAAAAATAAACTAGGATTCATCAAAGGAACCATACCTACACCGATTGAGAATGATTCCAAACATCCAGCATGACAACGTTGTAATGATATGGTTCTTTCTTGGATCTTGAATTCATTAAGTCAAGACCTTGCTAATAGTGTGCTCTATCTCGAGACACCCTCCGAAATCTGGATAGATCTACAAGAACGCTTCTCACAAGGTGATTTTTCTCATCTTTATCAACTCCAACGATCCATTGTTGAGTTGAAACAAAATAAAGATTCCATTTTCACTAATTATACTAAGATGAAGACATTGTGGGATGAATTGAAGATTTGCAGTCCCTCTACTATTTGTACTTGTGGAGGATTGAAATATTTGAACGAAAAAGAAGAAAAAATCAGGCTAGGACAATTTCTTATGGGATTGAATGAATCCTATTCTGCTGTGAGAGGGCAAATTATGCTGATGCAGCCCTTACCTACTATAAAGAAAGCTTACTCTCTTTTATGTGAAGAAGAAAAGCATAGAGAACTAGTTGAATATAAGGGAGCAGATCAAGTCCATGCTATGAATGTTAAATCTCAACTCAATGTCAAGCAACAAAACTATGATCACCAACGTCAGGCCAAGTGGACGCTTCTTCCTCAAAACAGCAAGGGCCTAGAAAGCAAATGTTGTGCACTTACTGTGATGGTCTGATTGGATTTCCCATTGGCCATAAACTTCATGGAAAAGATGTTCAACCTCCAAATCGAAATCATAAAGCTACTTCTAATCAAACAAGCAGCGAGCCTGCTCATACTACATCTAAAATGCCTAATCAATCACTTCAGTTCACCTCTGATGAACTTTCTCAAATCAAGGCCTTCCTCCGAAATGATAAAAGTCCTCCTTATGCTAATTATACAGGTATTCCAACGCCTTAATGTTTATCATCCGCCTTACATTTTTCTAAACCTGATAATTGGATTATTGATAGTGGTGCTACATATCATATACCCTCTTCAATAATTAGTGATACTCCGATGACTTCACAAGTTTCCTTACCAAATGGTTCTCAGTCAAAGATCACTGGTGTTGGCACTACTCACCTTTCTCATAATTTACATGTTAAAGAAGTTCTTTGTGTCCCTTCTTTTCATGTCAATCTTCTTTCTGTTAGTAAATTAACATCTGCTCTAAACTGTACTATCCAATTTTTTCCTAATTTTTGCAGGACCTAGCTTCGAAGAGGATGATTGGCTTGGCGAAACAGTGTAAAGGATTGTACTATCTTGTGCCATACTCGAAGCTGTCACCATCTACACAAGCAACTTATCATGTCACCACTCCATCAGCTATCACTTGGCATAAGCGGCTGGGACATCCTTCTAAGGCTCCATCTCAATTCTTGTGAAAGTTGATTCCTTCTTTTGTTTTTGATTCTCAACACTCATGTGAAGTTTGTCCTCTAGCAAAGCAAACAAGACTATCATTTCCTTTAAGTTCCATTCAAACTAAACACTCTTTTGATCTTATTCATTGTGATATTTGGGGACCTCATCGTGTTTCAACTCATACCGGTACACATTATTTCGATGATTACACTCAGTTCACATGGATATTTTTTATGAAATTCAAATCTAAAACCTAAAGCTTGCTAAAATCATTCATTCCATATTTCAATACTCAATTTAATAGTCAAATTAAATGTATACGAAACGACAATGGCTTAGAATTTACCTCAATGAAATCTTTCTTTTCTAGTCTTGGTATTTTGTTTCAAAGTTCTTGTTCCTCTACACCACAACAAAATGGTGTCGTTGAACGCAAACATCGTCATTTACTTAATGTTGGTCTAGCTTTAAGATTTCAAGCAAATCTCCCTTTACGTTTTTGTGGAGAAAGCCTACTTACTGCCTCGTACATTATTAATCGTCTCCCTATACCAATATTATATCACAAAACTCCATATGAACTTCTATATAACAAACTTCCCCGTTACACACATTTGCGAGGCTTGGATGCCTCTGTTATGTCACCAATCTTCAACCACTAACAAAATTTTCCCCTCGTGCTCGTCGATGTATTTTTATTGGATATCCTTCCGGACAAAAAGCCTATCGTGTTTATGACCTTATTACTTGCCAATTTTTTTTCCAGTTGTGATGTAATTTTTCATGAGAACGTATTTCCTTTCGCTACCTAATGCTGAAACACAACCTGAAAATCTTCCATTATCTTCCATACCTCCCTGCACATCTAATATTTATTCTTCTTTACCTTTACCAACTTATCATTCATCTCCTGATCTGTCATCGCCTTTCCCACCACCTGATCTGCAACCTAATTCCTTGCCACCATCTCCAAGTCCCCTTATCTCTTGATC